CTCTTTATTTTGTCCTCCTTAATGGGACTACTCCGGAGGCGTGGAGCAGAAGTGCGGTGGCCTTGTTTTTCAAGAAAGGCGACCACGCTCTCTTGAAGAACTACAGATCGATTTCGCTTCTGAATCGCGTCTACGTGGTGTTTTGGTGTTCGTGAGTCATTACGAATCGTCTCGCATGCAGACTCAATGACTTCCAGCCTCCCGAACAAGCCGATTTCCGAAAAGGCTTTAGCACCATAGACCACATACATACCCTACGGCAAATTGTACAGAAGTCCGAGGAGTACAATTTGCCACTATGTCTGGCGTATGTGGACTATGAGAAAGCCTTTGATTGCGTCGAAATTTGGGCGGTGCTGCAGTCCCTTCAGCGATGCCAAGTTGACTGTCGGTATATCGAAGTGTTGAAGTGCTTGTACAGTAGGGCGACGATGGCTATCCGAGTACAGAACCAGAGTACGAAACCTATCCAACTGATAGAGAGGTGAAAAACAGGGTGACGTTATATCCGCGAAACTCTTCATCGCTACATTGGAAGACGTTTTCAAGCTTCTGGACCGGAAAGGTTACGGTATTAACATCAATGGCGAGTACATCACTCACCTTCAATTTGCCGACGATATATTCCTTATGGCATAATCGCTGGAGGACCTAAGCACTATGCTCAATGACCTCCTAATAGTACCTCCCAACGAATAGGACATCTTAAAACGAACATGGACAAAACAAAGATTATGTATAACGTCCATGTCACACCTATGCCGGTAGTTTTGGGAGCAATAAGCTCGAAGTTGTTGACTATTTGTCCCAAGTAAACATTACCTGGGACAAATAGTCCGACTAGGTAAGTCCAACTTTGACCGAGAGCTCAGTCGACGGATTAAACTCGGCTGGGCAGAGTTCGCGAAATTACGGCACATTTTCTCGTCAGGTATACCTCAAAACTTGAAAAGAAGACTGTACAACCAGTAATGACCTATGGAACTGATACGTGGTCCTGCACAGCTTGCGGGATGAGGAAGCTTAAGGTCGCTCAGCGAGCTGTGGATAGAGCTATGCTCGGAGTTACTCTGCATGATATTTTAAACATTCATTTGATAAATAATTTAATTGAGTATTTCATGTACGCGCATATTTTTCTCCTAGCATAAAGAATTTCAAGGGGTATTAATTGTCACGCGTCAAAATCTTGTCTATAATACGATAGTTTGCTCAATCTGGTCTTGAGTACTGATTTACTTTGTACTTGTAAGAACAATATGTAAAAGAATCCTGCAAGTTTCACAAGTTAATGTATTTCAAATACATGTAAAGTCCACTAATTCAGGTGGGATCATGCCGCCGGAAAAATTCCTGTTCCATAATCTTCTTGACTTCTCGTAAACGTGAAGGCCAGTAATTCTCAACACGATGTACAAAAAAAAATAAAAAAAATAATTATATAATGGCTTACTTATTTTATTAGCTACTAGTGATACCCGCAGGGTGCTTTGCTGCCGTAGAAAAAATAATTGTGGAAATATCGTTTCAAATTTGGAAGAGTTATATTGTTTAACTAGCTGTTCCCCGCAACTTCGCCCGCGCGTAATTTATTACGATTAGATTTCATGGGTTTTAATTTTTTGCGCGGAACCCGAATTATTTTTCTAAAATAAAAGTAGCCTAGGTTACTTCTTATAGCATCAGCTATCTCCCAGTGGAAGTCCGGTCAAAATCGATCCAGCCGTTTCGGAGATTACCCGGAACAAACAGACAGATAGACAGACAGAAACACAGACAGACAAAAATTTTTAAAACCGTGTTTTTGTTATAAGTACATATATACATTCATATGCATATAATAAAAAGCTGTTATTTCGATATTACAAACAGACACTTCAATTTTATTTATTTGTATAGATTAGGAATGAAAATACATTTGTTAAAGTTAAGTAATATGTTACTTTTTTAAATATTTGTCGGTACGATACTCACGCCACCTAGTGTAAGTTAATTGTACTATGCCTATAACCTTCGCGGAAATGCAAGCAATAAGTTGACAAAGATTTGATGAACGGTATAGCAGCGTATAAATTACGAACAAATAAAAATTATTTTTTATACTTTAAAAAAATAAAAGTACTTAGCAAGTTCATTCAGTTAACGCATGAGTTAAATCGCTGTTTATATACAAGGTTTGTTATTCTTTATTGTTAACGATACTATCTCAACTGGCCACGTGAAAAGGAAAACGGCTTCATGTTAATTTGCCACGGTATTTTTTTTATTTTTCCGGAGTAAAAAATTCGACTATGCCTATATCCTTGGTACTTATGGCGTACATGCTATATAAGTATGCTAAAATCCGTTTATGCGTTGTTGAAAAACAAACATCCAAATTTTAAAGACTTTTACGTATATTATAAGTATTTTTTTATAACTTTATTATTAGTATTTTTGGTAAGTTGTTGCTGCAGCTCATAGACATCTACATTTATCTTCAATTAAGAACCAAAATGCAGATGCGTTGTCACCCCTAAGGAATAAGATTGAATACCTCCTTTCCAGTAAAAGGAGGTCTCCTGTTTCTCTACACTCACCACACGAAACACAGCAGCATTGAGCTGCTATTTTACACTGGTATTCTGTGAGAGCGTGGTCCTTATCTGGTCGAACCGACCAATTCGTGCTACAACCATAAATAGCTGCAGCGTGGCATTACTACGTCAAAAATATATATCTATATTATAAATCTTCACTGAAGTTCTCTAGAATCTCAACTGAAGTTAAAATTTCGCCGCTGGACATAAAAGCTAAACATTCCGTGAGATTAGAACATTTTGACGTGAGCGCCAAGCATAACTGGCGGATTGCTGATAAAAAAATCGTTTCATAACAAACATGACTGACTGATGTATAAATACAATTTAATAAAAAAAAAACTATTAGAAAACATTTGGATCAAGTAGGTGTTAATTTTATTCCGTACTAGCGACCCGCACTAGCTTCACCTAGGTAGGATTTTTCTATATAGGATAGGGTTACAAACGAGCACACAGTCCACCTGATGGTAAGTGGTTGCTGTGGCCCATAGACATCTACATTTATCCTCATTTGCGAATCAAAATTCAGATGCGTTGTCACCCGTGAGGACTAAGATGGAATGCCTCTTTTCCAGTAAAAAGGGTCTCCCGGTTCTCTACACTCACCATACGAAACACAGCAGTGTTAAGCTGCTATTTGACGCTGGTATTCTGTGAGAGCGTGGTCCTTCCCCGGTCGAGCGGACCCATTCGTGCTACAACTATACTACTAATATAGCTGCAGCATGGCTCTACCACGTACAAAATACGTCTAATAATGTGACGTCTTTAAGATTTTTAAAGTGACCATATTAATATATTTATTTATTTATGTACACCAACGATTGCAGTAATAGTATGCACACATCAAATTAAGCACTAATTTCACAATCAATTAAAGGTATACCTCGCATGCTTGATGTTACTAAAAAGTTACCCAGCAATTCTAAATAAATAAAATACAAAAACGTAGGATACCACAAAATAATATTGTGTTTAAAACAATGACTTACACGTAGTTACTTTAATAATGTATCTTGTACTGTGGCCTTAAACTTGGCTAGAGACAACATGAACATCTTTTGACCCACCGCACTTATTATATAGTTAGGAAATCGTGGAGTTACCGGTGAATTGGCTTTAATAACTGCTTTTAGAAACAGAATAGAGAGAGGTTCAATGGACTAACGAGGCATTAGTGATGGAACTTTAAAATTAAATTTCATTAGGAGGATTATATATGATAAACTGTAGCCTAGACCTCCTGGCATTTCTATCTATTTGTTCGTGAAGGTTCATCACAAGCGGTTCAGCCATTCCGAAGTTTAGCACGGACAGACAGGCAGACAGACAAAAATATTCCAAGCTATCAGCCCGCCCCGGCTTTGCCCGGGTTGAACAAATATCTATATAGGTATAATATATTTCAGATTTAGCTTAATAGATATAACTTATTTTAAACCTTCTTCGTATAACACATTTTTGTTCCATTTTTCTGCGGCTTTAATATATATTGATTCACCGCATTTCCTGACCTAGAGAGACAAATATATAATTGTCCGTGAATAAAACAATCTTCCCTTAAGTCAAGTCCAATATATTTGTATCTTTGGCCTTCAGAATAGTTGATGGTGAAGGCGACAATTTTTTTTATTGAGAAGTGTAATCGTTTAAATTTGGAAATCTAAAATAGTAGGGATCATGGGAAGAGCCACGACTTTTTCAGACTTCGTTGACAAATGTCATCAAAACTTTATTTTTATTTTAGTCATAATATAAATATATACACATAATATATAACCCATATCTATCTGGAATAATGTACCTTTCAATTGGTGAAAGAAATATTCAAATAGGTGCAGCGGTTCCGATGATTTCCGCCCACATATATACAAACTCACAAAATGTGCACTCTCTTTATAATATTAGTATAGATTGTTATTTATACCTTCATGGCATGCGATATTACAGATTAACACTTCAATTTTATTTTATGTATAGTGGATATTACAATATAATAGAAAAACATTAGGAACAATGTTTTCTAAATTTGAAATAGTATGTTTAATTCGAATGTTTATCATTGATTCTAAAATAATAAGTGACCACGATGACACTTCTGTGTTTAATCAATTTAATTGACAGTTCGCGAGGTTTGCTTTAAATTAAAAAAAATATTTTAATGACTAGGATATAGATATTTTTAAATACTAGAAATGATTTTAATATTACTAATATTCCCGTTATTCGTTCCCGTTCTCCAGGTACGCTTTTTGTAGGTGGTTCACAAGTTCACTATAGTAATGGAACGGCGGATTCGAACCCACTACATTTAGATTCGCGTCTACTGTAATATCATTATATTCATAATTATCGTATGGTTTGTATTTATAAACAAAATACTAAACACAAAAAACAATTTAAAATTAAATGGCATACCTTCGATACTATCTTCCTTATCCTCAACCATTTCAAATAGAGTTCTATCAGCTATAATAAACCAAACACAAACAGATTCACTCTCAAAAATAAATTAAATCACAATAATTTTCCACCGAATCAAAACTCAACAAAAAACAAACACGATATCCCGAAGTTTCAAATAGATAAGAACGCCAAACGCCTTCTCACCAAGAGCGACCGACGCGTACTAGCTCAACTTCAACTAACTGAGTCTGAATCGGACTATATTTTCTTTTCATGTCCACAACATGAGCGCGGGAAAACGTTTCCCTCGTAAAGTATCCCGCGATTTATATTTCGAACAGTGCTCGATTCCAGAATTGAGATATTATTATTATATTATTATGGGTTTGTTGGGTTCTATGCCAGCTATACGTTCTCTTCTAGCCATAAGTAATTTAAAACCTTTCGGATATTGCTTCCTTTATGGCTTTATAATAAAGTGTTGTCTTATCCTAACTATTTCCGTAAATAAGTTAGTTTCCTTATTTATTGTGGTACATTAAATTAACATAATCTATAAAACTATCCACTATGATAAACGATGACATTATATACAAGGGCTTTACTTTGTTATTTCATACGACTTGTTTATTAACAAAAAATACGATTAAGGAAAATATCGTTCGGTAAAACCCCGAAGATCAATTATCATATTATTTACTGCTCTGTCAATTCCTTATAACTGCAGAGAAACAGGCTTCCAGGTAACGTGGAGATTTTTAATTATAAAGTAGTATTAAAATATACATCAATCTGACTCTAAAACTCTAAAATGTTCACATTTTTATTACACCCATCGTTTTAATTTGAGTGATGAATCAATATAAGGTATGTAACAAACGGTCCGGTGATCCTTTTTTTATAGAATAAGGGTGACAAATGAGCACACGGTCCACCTGATGATAAGTGGATGTTGTGGCTTTAATATACATTTATCCTCGATTGATTGTCGCGTGAGAACAAAGAAGGAATGCCTCGTTTCCAGTAAAAAGGGTATCTTTATGTAGAGGTACAGACATGGCATTCATGACAATATTTTTTTTTGTCGTTATTTATTGGATTTTAGTGTTCACGATAGATAACTTAATATATTCAATCTTTTTGAAAAAATGTTATTAACATCTGAAATATCTAACACGTGCTTCGGTATTGATAATACTTCGGTATATTTGATAATACTCTTACTAAAGAAAACCACAGAGTTTTCTGAAGTAAAGTTATTTCAATAAATTTTAATACTGATTCTGATACTGCACTTAACGGGAACCACAAGGATTTTGTCACATGTTGTATACTGTTCCAGATCTTAAAACGTACACAAATAAAAGTTTTTTTTTTATAGAATAAGGGTGACAAACGAGCACACAGTCCACCTAATAGTAAGTGGCTGCTGTAGCCCATAGACATCTACATCTATTTTAGTTTGCGAATTAAAATGCAGTTGCGTTATCAGCCGTGAGAACTTACATAGAATGCCTCTTTTCCAGTAAAAAGGGTCTCCGGTTCTCTACACTCACCATACGAAACACAGCATTAAGCTGCTATTTTACGCTGGTATTCTGTTAGAGCGTGGTCCGTCCCCGGTCGAGCCAACCTATTCGTGCTACAACTATACTACTAATATAGCTGCAGCATGGCTCTACCACGTAAGAAAGTTAAACTCTCTAGTTAAGTTCCCTCTCGTTTTTGAGAGAGTTTGTAGTGTCCGCCGTGCTACCCAAATTGGTGTTGGCTGATTTTAGGTGTTTCCGAATTTTTTTTTATTTGTCAAATGTGCAGATTTTCTCACGATGTATTTTTTCACCGCTGAATTTAAATTATCATTTAAAATTCCAATTAACAATTTCATAGGTGATAGTGGGGATCTATTCCGGGCTATTCGCGTACTGTTAAATTTACAGCGAACCCTTAACTAGCTACTTACTTACCTTTATGAGCTACCACGGCTCTCACTGATACATAAAACATACGTGGTAGAGCCATACTGTAGCTATATTATGATTGTAACAGGAAGGCGTCATAAACTTGAGCACATTTAGAACCTATGTATATGGTTCATGTTTCGACTCCGAAAATATGACCATGTTTCCGAATTTCGTGAAAACTCAAGTGGCTTCCGATCCGTCTTTGCAGGAATACTCACATTTATCGATTATACTGTTTGTTGTTTAAATCCACTTCCTTGCTAAAAAGATAAATGTTACAAACTATAGACGCCCCACTGCTTAGCACAAGCCTCCTATCATATTTGAGAGCGTTATGGAGCAATTAAACAGCAGATGTTGGCGTATTGCACATTTCCTCACGATTTTGTCCTTCACCGCCGAGCACATTAAATCGGCATTTAAAATTTCAATTAACAATTTCATTATTTGGCGAGTGGCTTGATACATTTCGCAACATGGGTATCGTATGTCAGGAACTGCCTGAAAAATATTATTCCGAATGGTGGTGGTATACCATCTCGTGTACGCCAGACATAAAACAATATCTTAAAGAGCAGTTTGAGTTTATTCACTCACTGTGGACACTTGTGTTGGACACTCACTGTCGCATTCTTCGCTCTGATAAAAACTCGACCAGGAAGGACCACGCCCTCAAAGAATCATCAGCATCCACAAAGGAATGCCACAAAGCTCGGTCCTGAGCCACCTGCATCCAACAACTTCCTGCATGTCTTACCAGGTCGTCACTCCATCTAGTGGGGGAATGCCCTACACTTCGTCTACCAGTATGACACTGCCACTCGAGAACCTTTTTTCCCCGTCGGTGGTCGGTTCTTCGAGCTATATGGCCGGCCCATTGCCACTTAAGCTTACCAATCTGTCGAGCTATGTCGTTCACTCTAGTTCTAATGCTGGTATCCCTATTTCTATGTTTATCACGCAGAGAAATCCCGAGCATAGCCCTCTCCATAGCTCGTTGAGCGACCTTGAGCTTCCTTATACGGCCAGCAGTGAAGGACCACGTCTCAGATCCATTAGTCATCACTGGCAACACGCACTGATTGCGCAATCTCGTTTTCAGGTTTTGAGGTATACCTGACGAGATGTGTCGTAACTTCCCGAATGCTGCCCAACCGAATTGAATCCGTCGATTGTCCTCTCGGTCGAAGTTGGACTTACCTAGTTGGACTATTGCCATCACTCACCTTCGATTTGCCGACGATATAGTCCTTATGGCAGAATCGCTGGAGGACCTAAGCACTATGCTCAATGACCTCAATAGTGTTTCCCAACGGATAGGTCTTAAGATGAACATGGACAAAACAAAGATCATGTTTAATGTCCATGTCACACCTATGCCGGTAGTTGTTGGGAGCACTAAGCTCGAAGTTGTTGATGAGTATGTTTACCTGGGACAAATAGTCCGACTAGGTAAGTCCAACTTCGACCGAGAGGTCAATAGACGGATTCAACTCGGCTGGGCAGCGTTCGGGAAGCTACGACGCATCTTCTCGTCAGACATATCTCAAAACCTTAAAACGAAATTGTACAACCAGTGCGTGTTGCCAGTGATGACTTACGGAACTGAGACGTGGTCCTTCACTGCTGGCCGTATGAGGAAGCTCAAGGTCGCTCAGCGAGCTATGGAGAGGGCTATGCTCGGAGTTTCTCTGCGTGATAAACTTAGGAATGAGGATATCCGCAGTAGAACTAGAGTGACCGACATAGCCCAACGGATTAGTAAGCTGAAGTGGCAGTGGGCCGGCCATATAGCTCGAAGAACCGACAACCGATGGGGAAGAAAGGTTCTCGAGTGGCAGCCTCGTACCGGTAGACGAAGTGTAGGGCGTCCCCCCACGAGATGGAGTGACGACCTGGTAAGACATGCAGGAAGTCGATGGATGCAGGTGGCTCAGGACCGTGCTTTGTGGCATTCTTTGGGGGAGGCCTATGTTCAGCAGTGGACTTGTGAAGGGCTGTAATGATGATGATGATGATGAGTTGGACTATTTGTCTCAGGTAAACATACTTGTCAACAACTTCGAGCTTAATGCTCCCAACAATTACCGACATAGGTGTGACATGGACATTAAACATGATCTTTATTTTGTCCATGTTCATCTTAAGACCTATCCGTTGGGAGACACTATTGAGGTCTTTGTGCATAGTGCTTAGGTCCACCAGCGATTCTGCCATAAGGACTATATCGTCGGCAAATTGAAGGTGTTTGATGTACTCCCCATTGATGTTGATACCATATCCTTTCCAGTCCAGTAGCTTGAAAACGTCAACCAATGCAGCGGTGAAGAGTTTCGGGCATATAATGTCACCCTGTCTTACACCTCTCTGCAGTTGTATAGGTTTCGTACTCTGATTCTGTACTCGGATAGCCATCGTAGCCTTACTGAAGAACCACTTCGCGACTTCGTTTTCCATCCGCTTTCAGAAGCTCCGCTGTAATTCTATCCTCACCTAAGGCCTTGCTGTTTTTAAGATGCTAGAGAGCCATTCTAATGTCGCTCAGACTGATGTCCGGGATATTCATCGGAATAGTGTCGGATAAGACTTGCTCTTGGATCATTAATCACACTTGGGTGTGGCTTCAACGATGACGTGTAAAGCTGCCCATAGAACCTCTCAATCTCACCCAAAATCTCAGGTGTCCCGGAAACGACGCTGCCACACTCGATCTTCAGCTTTGACAGTTGGCTTTTTCTGGCAGACAGATCTCTGGCAAAGACTTCGGAGCCTTGGTTGCACTCGATCGCTTCTTCAATACGAGCTGAATTGAAGTTGCGTAAGTCCCGCCGCATGAATTTGGAGATCTGTCTGTTCAGTTGTCTTTATGCTGTCAAATATGTTGAAGACTGCAGCTTTATTTGCTGTCTAACAGCAATGAGATTAAGAGTGTGATCGGAGAGTTTTTGTGTTCTTCTGTAGCTTGCAGAACTTAGCTCGGACCACATGGACAGTTTCCACGAGTTTGTCATTTATATCGTCCACTGCATTGTAGTCTTCTAGATACTGAACTCTCTAGGTACTTTGTAACTCGAGCTGA